AACAGAACAGACAAAGAATAATAAGCATAATGATCTGAACTGAGATGAGATAAATAAAATAAAACTAAGAAAGTTAAAAGAGGTGAGAAGCTATATAGAAAATGGAAAATGGTAGTAAGATATGGAATGGTATATAAAATGAACATGAATTTGAATTTGTGTCTGTATGAAAAGATGTAACCCGGGATCAAGCAGCTTTCAGAAAAGATGTTTTATGTTTTTATGTTTTATGTTTTGTTTGTGTATTGTCTTTGAAAATTAATAAAATTTGTTTAAAATAAATAAATAAATTTCCCTTCAGTAAAAAAAGTTGAAAATTGCTGTGTTCTGATTTCCCTTCAATGAATAGCAGTAGAAGTACAATAGTTTTGACTTCCCTCAATGAGAGAAAAAGGGAAGCACAATTTTTTTCCCTTTTCTATAAAAAAAAACAACAGGAATTGGAGTTTGCTGGAGAAACACTGAAGTGAAACCTCGAGAATGAAACTATTTTGATTCATGGTTCCATTTATTTCTAGAACTGTTATTATTGTTCCGTAAAGTCTATTGCCCAGTATAACTTTATAGCATATTTTCTGTACATCTTGCCTCTAAAAAGCTGAAACCAAAACTGTCCTTGATTACCTTTCTACTTCTATACTCTGGAACAGATGTGTTATTCAGCAGTTTCTGACCAGTTCTGGAGAATTGGTAGTAGAAATTTTGAGTAGTTTGGATAACCAACAAATACCACCTCTGACTGGAGATTTTACAGCATCCTTCCCCTGCCACACCCACCAAGCCATGCCCACAGAACTGGTAGCAAAAAATTTGAATCCCACCACTGCTCTGGAAGTAAGTCTAGATGTCCCTCTGTTTGAAGGGGGACTTTCTCACTTAACTCTAATTTCTTTATATATCCTGATTTTTTTTTAATTTGGAACCCTAATAACAGAATTTCTCTCATTCTTTTTATTGTTGTTGTAAAAACTATTATCTATATAAAAAGTGGAATGAAGATACAGTTAAATAAAACATAATTATTTAATATAAAATATGCATGAACTGTTTTCCCTCTTACATCCTAAAATCCTTTTAGGATTATTATTATCCAGTTTGGTCACTTATAAGAATTAAACAATACAAGATCTATAATGCTCTTTATTTTTAATAAATTAACCCCAACAAACATTTCAATCAAAACAACAAATGTTCTTTCACCAATTCACTAAGAGATTAGGAATATTTTAAGGAATTTGACAATGACTGAAAGGACTTTTTTTCCTAATGTCAAAATTTGCCAAAAAAATTATTCATTCTAATTAGCACTAGAGAAAGAGCTAAATAATGAGTGGTTTTCAAATTTGCAGGATTTTTCTGCTAGCCATCCTTATTGCACTTCAAAAAGTTTGCTAATATTTAGGCCAGATCTTCCTGATATAGATCCCACAATTATTACTGTGTCTGTAGATACTTCCCTGAGCATATCTGAGACTTCCTTGTTTTTTTCCAAATTTTAAGGATTTAAATACACACACACACAGAGAGAGAGAGAACTTTAAGTGAAAAGCAAACTTGTTTGATTATTTCTAATTATAATTATCTGCAGCCTTAAATATAAGGCTTTAAATAATGAAATGTGTGTTAGAATTAGTTGCAAATCATTCCTTCTTTGATCTCCAGAAGGAGCCAAAACAACGCTAAGTATTTGCTTTCACTGTTGCTGAAAGAGAAGTAGAAAGAAAACAAGAACATAGAACTTCTTGCAATGTTAATTTTTTCTGCATTTCCTGCTTCATCCTTTTGCTAACTGGAAAAAAGGATTCAAGCATAAAGCTACAATATTAAGGAAAAATTTTAAAATCACTTCTTGCAACTCCAGTTTATTTATAAAAATAAACTCTGTTAAGTTTGGAGAATAAAGAGACCAGACATCTGACCAGTGACTTCAACTCTTTAATAATAACAGGAATCAGAATGGAACAGAGCAATGCTATGGGCAGCAGCAACCCTTTTATAGGGTTAGCTGCTGCCTTGCTAACCAATGAAAATGTGCAACAGGTTCCAACTACTGACCAATAAGGACAGTCCCAAAAGTGGCCAATCAGGGACTGGTTCTGGCCCAATCCCAAGTTGTTGTACAAGGACCAATCAAGTGTGCAGGTTTTCAACCCCTAATTTGCATTTAGGTTATTCACTTTTATTGATTCACAACAAACTCCTTGTTCTAGCTTTGTGTATAAGCCAGCATGTGGCTGTCATGGTCTATTGACACCAATTATTCCTGTGCAAAGATATACAATTTGAACATTAATTTGCCATTAAGAAAGGAAAGAATATGTAGGCAGTCTTAATATTTCTTTGGATACTGAAAGTATTTATTTCAACAGCCATCCCCCCTCCCCCCCAAAAAAAGCTACTTTACAACTAACAGAAGTAAGAAAACGGATGGTAGATTACTTCCTTTTACAGGGAAGTTTTAAGTTGAACAAGTGATCACGTTGTATCTCATGATAGGAAATGAATTTGTTTGCTTGCCTTCTGCGACATTAAATACTGTGGAAAGGGAACTTCACAAAGACAGTAGTGCCACAAAAACAAGAAAAGCCCAAGGAGAACATCAGGTCAGCCAGAAAACAAACTTACATAGGAAAAGGAATCAAATAAAAAGTATTAAAAAATCCCTATAGACAAAAGCCTAAGTAATTAAGAAAACTAGACAAATAGGAAAAGGAAACAAAAGATAATTTAGAAAACCCTTACAAACACAGGACATACCAAATAAGCAAAACAAACAGACAAAAGACACAAAATATAAATTACAAAAGGGACAGACAGGAGATTGCCACAGAACAAATATGAAAAACTATCTTAAAGCTAAAAGAGATTAGAGAAAACCAATGATACAATCTGGCCACCCCCGCGGAGTTTGCCTTCCGCACCCCGTGGAGTTTGCCCTCTGGCGAGAATAAAGACAAACTCAAACTGGATTTGAAACATTAGGCTCAAATACAAACACTCACACAAAATCAACTTACAAAGGGAGAAAAGGGTATAAAAAACCAGGGACTTACCATAAGAAGCTAGCTAGCCCAGGAACGCAGACTTCTCACTGTTCTCCGCCTTCCTGAAAAATAAAAAGATCCAGCTTTCAAGCAGTTGTCCATATCCTTGCGCCGGAGCTCTCCCAGCGGGAAAATCGAATCCTTGAAAGAAAGGCATTTTGACACCTTTCAACAATACATTTAAGTCAATCTAATTGACCCAAAGGTGCTTTTTCAAGAGACAATCCGACTTTCTGGTTTTTCTTTGAACATGTTTCACTTCTCATCCAGGATGCTTCTTCGGAAATGAAACATCTTCAAAGAAAAACCAGAAAGTCGAGTTGCATCTTGAAAAAGCACCTTTGGGACAACCATGGCCTAGATGACTGAGAATGGCCTAGATGACTGATAATTTCCATAGACATTCAGTCTAATTGATTAACATATGCATATTTTGAGCAACATTGTATCCTATGGGCCTCAAATTTTATAAAAGGTAAGCAACACTTTTCATGGCTCAGACTAGCAATGACTCATTCATAGATTGTTCTTATACTTCCTAACAGGAATATCAGGATATTGTACAATTTGTAATGGCTTTAGCACGTGTGCATTTTGATTGTGTTGTTGTTTTGATAATCTGAATGAGGTATTTGCATTAAAAGCATGTCACAGAACTGAATTAAATACTCTATACAAATAATTGCACAGCTGAACATTATGTTCTTTAGAGAGTACTAATTCAATAGAAAATTAATAATTCACAAAATAATGACTAATTTCATACTAATATTGCTATTATTGATCTCCTGCCTCTTAAGGTATATTTCATTTTAATCACTAAATGAACTTCATTATCTTCAATGCCCTGACCTGATGCTCTCCAAACTTGTAGTATTTCAATTTCCAGTTTGTGACAAAATGAAGGAATTGTTTAATGGAAAGTATAAGATTTGGAAAGGACCTCTTTAACATTTATTCCTTATTAGTAAAATCCTTCTTTTAACTAGGCTTACTTTCTACAAAATGTCTATAATCCATACCTTTCTTTCTCATACCAAAGCATGACTCTATAATCTTTGATATGTTGGGAGGAGATATTCTTAATATTGAAGATGAAAAATAGTCCCTGTATGTTCAAGGCATACTGTTAAAATTCTTAAGATATTTACTAATACAGAACATATGACACAATTACAGTATATTGGCTGGGAACATATGATGCGATATGCAGAAACCTTTCTAGGATTTAGTGCAATACAAACTCAGTTCATAATATTATGGAGAATTTTTAATGTTTGAATGCAGCTAATTATAGTTTATTTAATAAATATAACTTATTACTTGCTTATTTATGTCATTTTATTTTTAATAAAACCAGATATGTCTTAGCCTGATGTGTGAATTGATGCTCTGCTGACTTATGTGTCCAAAACCAGCCTCTGTGGTTTGTTTGTAGTTAAGTATATATATGAACCCAATGAAACATGATCCAATCATAGGTGTGCATGCTGTGTAAACACAGCCATTTACACTCACTAATCTTGCTAGTCAACTTCAGTTTATAGTTTAACATGTTGCATGAATTGTACCAATTATATTTTAATCAGTAAGTTAGGATTAAACTACCCTTAGCCCAATGATTGCCCTCAATAGAAAAAAAATAACATTCATTATTATCGTTGTCCTCCAGAATTAAATTCTGACACAGAGGAAACAACAAATTCCAAGACACCCTCAATTAACCTAATCGCCTGCCCATCTTTCATTTAACCTCACCGTCCTTCTCTCCTTGCCAATCCTGCATCCCTCGGGAGGTGGCCGCTTCACTCAAAGCCCCTCCCCTCCCCAGTAGTCGTCACGTGCGAGCAGCCGTGCGCAAACACACCGTCCAGTTTGTGAGTGACGGGTAGAGGAAGCCAATCCACGCCAACCGCTTGGTCCTCTGGGCCTATACGCGAAGGGAGGTGGGATTTCCGCAGCTCTCAGCTGGCTTGCTGACGGACCGAGGGAGGGTTCGATTATGGCTTCTGGCTAAACTGCGCTGCGGTCCTTCGTCTGGTTTGGGAGTCTCTCCTTCCTCGGTAAGGGGGTTTTCCTTCCCGCCTAAAGGCTTTGGCGTCGCGGTAGCGCCTAGGCTTCTTTCCTCTGATTGAGCGTAGGGGCCTGTCGTTGGGAGAGGCGGGGAAGCTGTTGCCTTCCCTGGCGTGATTTTGTTGTCTCTTCTCCCCCCTCCCTGCCCACCCCCGTTGATCCCTTTATTCCCTTGTTGGCCTTTGCAAACGCCGGAGCTTCTGTTGCACGGTTCGGGTTGTGCAAGATTAAAAAGAGTGGCGGGGGGGGGGGGGGGGGGACTGTTTTCTCCAACTCTTTCCACCCACCTTCTCAATAAAGTAACTTTCGTTTGACTTTTGCGGCTTGTTTTTTTCCCCTCTCTCTCTTCCTTCCTTTCCGTCTTCGTTTTGCGGTTTTTAGGCGGCTGGTCGGTTTGACCGCGTACCCCGGGTGGATAGGGTTCCCACGGGCTTTGTCGCAACGTCGTTTCCGCAGCGCCTTGGATGGAAGAACCTTGAAAATCGCCCCGCTTGGGGTTAGTGAAGTTCCATCAGGCGCGAGTGGGTGGGGTGCACGCCTGTTTTTCTCCCCACAATAAGCAGAAGCTGAACCCAGTCGCACACGGGGCGGCGATTCTGGCGTCTTTGTGATGCAGCGAATGTTTGTGATGACACGAGCTTTTTCTTTCTTTTTTTTAGGGCCCTCTATTGGGCTTAGCGGGCGCCGGCAGAATTTATGCGTGCTCTTCAATAGCGCATTGAAAGGGGTAGAAAATCATTTACTGCCTCATTGTTTAGTTGTGGCAGCAGACGTGGGTTGCCTCCAACTTTGGTCACGTTGGATCGAGAACGAGTGAAAAAAAAAATTCAGTACAGTTTGGATGTGGTCATGCAGCTCTTTAGTTATTTGCCTCTAAAGTTTCGTGTAGGTTTACATATAGGGAGTGGCTTTTTGAAGACACAGTCACTAATCTGCGTGTTTACTCCAATCAAGGGATTGAGTCGTTCCCGAAATACCGTATAAACTGCTCTACAAAAGTTTGAAGTTAATATCTTGGGAAATCTCAGATTAGTTCTACCCCCCCACCCATCGAGGAAGCTATAATGCAGTTTCCCCTAAGTTGGTGTTTCCAGATTGCTGAGCTCCAGAGGCTAAAGTCTTTTTGGACCAAGGGGTAGAAGGGTTGGCAGATATGCTGTCAAATCTTGGGACATACTCCTGGTGTGATTGCTGTGAAAGTCATTTTCTGTCTTCTTGTTTCACTAAAAGTCATAGTTTAGAGTCCCATAGACTATTAATAAATAGTCTGGGATCAAAAAATGAGTGGTTGCCTTCTCTCATGTGCTTTCTTAAAAGAAATTTAAATTGTTTCTATATTGTAGTATATTGCTTATAAATAAAAATTATCCCAGTATAGTTACGAAATTTTGTTTAGCCATTTATCCATTCGTCTAATCCTTAATAGAAAAAATGTATAATACTTAAGAGGAGCCCAGGCGTTATCAAATGTCTTAGCTTGGCCCTGCTAGAAAGGCAGATAAGCAGAAAAGAAAGAAGGGTTTTCTTATTAAGTGCTGATGTTCTAAATATAATACTTAATAAGAAAGCCCTTCTTTCCTTTCTGCCTTCTTATCAGGGCCAAGCTTAGAAATTTGATAACGTCTGGGCTCCTCTTAAGTATCACACAATTTCTATTAAGGATTAAAATGAATGGATAAATAGCTAAACAAAATTTCATAACTATACAGGGATAATTTTAATTCAGTTTTTATCACCCTAAAATGAGGTGGATTTTACAACTAAAACTATAGTACTGGAAATGCGGTAACTGTATAATAAATTAAAATAACATGGTACTTTCTGTGCCTAACAACTTCCATTGGAGTTTGAGAGAAGCCTGTATCCCTTTAGTCCAACCCCCTGCTCAAGCAGGAGACCCTATCCAATTTGAGACAAGTGGCTGTCCAGCCTCTTCTTAAAAACCTCAAGTGATGAAGCCCCCACAACTTCTGAAAGCAATTGGTTAGGAAGCTTCTCCTTAGTTCCAGGTTGTTTTTTCTCCTTGATTAGTTTCCATCCATTGTTTCTTGTATTGGCTCTGGTGTTTTGGAAAATAAGTTGACCCCCCTCTTCTTTGTGGTAGGCCCTCAAATACTGGGATACCGCTATCTTGCCACTCCTAGTCCTTCTTTTGTCTAGAGTAGCCATGCCCAATTCCTGCAACCATTCTTCGTATGCTTTAGTCTCCAGACCTTTAATCATTCTTAGTTGCTCTTTTCTGAGCTTTTTCTAAAGTCTGAACATTGTTTTTGTAATGTGACCAAAACTGGATGCAGTATTCCAGGTATGGTCTTACTAAGTTTTTATAAAGTGCTAATGCTTTTATAAAGCTTTTATAAAGTACTAATGCTTCACGTGATTTTGATTCTATCCCTCTGTTTATACAACCAAGGATTAGATTAGCTTTTTTGGCTGTTGCCGCACACTGCTGGCTCACATTTCAGTGATTGTCCACTAACATTCCAAGGTCCCTCTTAGCCAGGTTTCGCCTAATCTATACTTGTACCTTTGATTTTTACTGCCTAAGTGAAAACAATCTGAAGACAAATATCAGCAGCTTTTATAATCAAATTATATCTCATCTACTCTAGATTAAAAAGGAGTTCTAACATATGTTTTATGATTTGGGGCTAAAATTATCTAAGACAAGCCCATTGTTCCTATGTAGGCTGTGAAATCTCTAGTTGACCCAGTTTCCTGTACCAATGCATGGAAGTTCTAGTCTCCCAAAAACATATTTCAATTTTTACAATATCAGCAGCAAGATGACTCAAAGATCCAGGGCTGTTGAGCAGCAGGGCAGTTACCATACTAGGAACAATCACAGCTTCTATCTATCTTCTATCTTCTCTTTCCCATTTTCAAGAAACAGGTAGTTCTCGGTTAACAATAATAATTGGGGTTGGATATCTGTCACTAAGCAATGTGGTCATATAAAGATTGACATAATAATCTTGACACTTCCCATTGCTATTGTTAAGTGAGTATCATGCATCATTAAACTACTCCCAGATAGCTCAGAAGCAGCCTGGCCATCAGGTTATGTAGTGTAAATGTAGCAGGTCCAGGAGTGGCTGCTGCCATGCAGGGCAGAATTCAAGTATGGTAGAACTTGTACCTGGAGAAGCAGAGGGGAGGAGTTTGGGCAATATGAGAGAGAGGCCCAGATTAAGAGACTATGAAGTCCCAAGATGGATTGTGGGGGGAGACATGTACAGGTTCAGGTAGCCGCACTCTAGAATCTCTCAGGATATACCTAGTATTAAAAGGTTACAGCTTTAGTTTTGCAAGATTTTCTGTCCACTAGGTGCAAGCAAATAAAGGATTGGTTTCAATCAGGATTTTGCTGTGTTGTCCTTGAGGTTGATCCTGAAATCAATCTTACCGAACTCTTATTTCTTAGTAAGGAGCAGGAAAATTTCAAGCATGACTACAGATCCAAAAGTGTGCCAGTAACGCCATAGCAGCTAGCAGCATCCTTACTCCAGCACCACCAGCAGGTAGAGGTACAGATCAATAATTTACAAGCTGCTGTAGTGCAATTGTGCAACAAGTTATCTTGCACTCTATGACAACTTACCAGAGAAATACAGAGTAGTTATAGACCAACTAAGAATCTTTCTGGCTCACAATGAAATGTTCAACAATAGTAGAGCAGTGGAATGCCGAACAGATCACATTAGTGTAATCTTTTTATTGAATTTGCTGAAAGAGCGGGGCTGTGAAATGGGCCATTCCAATGATAGAAGGCAATGACCTGATACTGGACAACTACCAGAACTTCCTCACGAGATTTAGACACAATTTCAGTGATACCATTCAGAGAATCACAGTCAGTTGGGGGATTTGGAAACTCAAACAGAGGAATAAGAAAATAAGCTTGTTCATCTCAAATGTTTAAATTGTTGGCCTCGGATGGTGGATGGAATGAAGTGGCATTTATCCAATTTAGAATGGGGTTGAGTGATGACACTCGAGATGAATTGGTATGGCAGGGTTTGTTTGTTTGTTTTTGCCTCATTAGATGATCCAGGATTTTTTGATTAATTGATACTCGTTTGGAAAAATTGAAGCAGAGCAAGGACACCAGAGGCAGAGATGCCTGCAAGTTGGTAATCATGATTTCTAACAGTCGCATCTCCAGACACGGACAGGGAAGCCAGTGCAAATTGGAACTGTCAATAAGTCAGTCTCAGAGGAGGAGATGGGGAAAGGCAAAGAGATCTGTACATCTGTTTTTACTGTGGAGTTTCAGGGCATATAGCCAGGACCTATATAGTGAGAAAACCAACAGCGGAAACTAGAGCATCTGAACAACCTGCCAGCAAGTACCTACTGTCATCCACAGGTGCTAACCAGGGGAACGCCACTAGCCTCCATCATGAGAGTTCACAGGAAGGAACCAGCCAACAAATAAAGAGAGCTCAAGACGAAGGGGGGTAAGAATATTTTTTTCTTACTCCTGTCACTATAACATTAGAACTGGGTTGTATGGTAGTAATAGAAGCTTTCACATCACAAACTTTATAGATATAGAGGTAGTGCATAAATCACAGTAAAATTACCAAACTTGTAGAAGAAGAGACTGTAGATGGCCAGACTTTGAAGGTGGTTCTTGTTTTGCAGTTCATTGCTCTAGTACCGCTGCAAATTGAATTCTTGCCCTTTTATGTAACTGCTTCCTTGCAAGTACCTATGGTGTTAGACTCTTCCTGATTGTGGCTCTATAAACCATGAGTGAGTTGGCGACTTGGGCAATCTGCTTTTCCTCTCCACTTCCATGCTTTCCTTGGTGTTTATAGTGAGCGTCCAGCCAGAGTATGTGGAATACCTACTAAGCATGCTGATTTTGCAGATGTCTTTGGAGAGCAGGAGGAGGCCACCGCACTTCTACCTCAAAAGGGCTGTGATTGCACAATTTGACCTGAAACTTGGAGCAAAAATTCCAGGCAAAAGACATTATCCCATGTATACCAAATTATTTTAAAGGAATATCTTGATGGTCTGCTAAATCTCTTTTTAAGATTTCCCCCTAAATCCCCAGTCTCTGCCCCAGTCTTTTTCATTGAAAAAAAAATGAAAAAGTGCACACCATTCATGATTGCAAGGATCTTAGCTAGGACATGTTATGGGATCATTATCCACTTCCTGTAATATCAGACCTGTTAGACCAGCTGCAGAATGTCTGCATCTTTAGACCAGAGGAATGTTTACAATCTCAATCAGGTAAAAGAGGGACCTAAGTATCTGACTGCCTTCAATATACGGTTTGAAAGTTTGAAGATATTGTTATTTGGACTAGCAAATTATGGAACAGTATTTTTCAGATTAATGAATCATGTTTGGAGTACTTCCTTTTTTAAAAAAGAAGTCCATATTTAAATATCAAGAGAAAAGCTTTGGTCTCTAGCATTGTCTTAATTTTCAACAGGCCCGCAGAACCTTTGTAGTTTAGTGTTTAGTTCTGTGACGGTCTGCCTAGATAAATGAAATATTAATAAGAAAAGGCTCAAGAGATTCTCGCCAACTTGCTTTTGGGTAAGTGCATCTTTTGTGACTAATCAAGAAATCTATTTTGTAAGGGCACTTATAACCATTTTGTAAGGGCACCCAAATTAACTTTTCAGAATTCTTGATCTGCCTATGGGACAAAGGTTATTGAATCTAGGCTGTAATTAGATAAACCTGTCAGGTTTCCCAATATGAGATAGGCAGTAAAATAAGATGTTACTTTATAGCTTAGATCAACATCTTGGCTTGGCTTGGGAAAAAACACAAGATTAAGTGGTAGCTGGCAGATTTTTGATTGTTAAACTTGATTTACAAGGATTGATGGTGAAGGTGGTATTTGGGTAGATCTGGTTAGGACTCTGCTTTATTATTATAGGGTATAATAACAGGTTTTTGAAAGACTCCCAGAATATCCCTCTGTCTCCCTTCACACAAAACAGAATAAAGCTGAGTTTGCCTTGAGTTTGTTTCACGCCTCATCTCTCCCAGGATAGAGTTGATATTTACTGAATAGTTCTTGGATTTGTTCTTCAGGGTTATTGCTGAACACTTATGGGTGTGATGAGTGAATGGGAAGGGGGTTATATGGCTTGTTGATCAAATGCTTTGCAGAAGCATTCTTGGTGTTTGAATTGGTCCATCGCTTTAGTGGAATGTGGTTTTTAGTGGGTGATGGAATCCTTTGACTTAGAAAAGAGGGACAAAAATTGGGAATGATTAGAAGTAAATGTGCAAGCAGTGCTATTGTGATGGCAAGTATGGAGATTTATGACAGGAAATGTATGCTCTCAAAGAACCTTCCTTACCCTTCCAGCCTCTGCACTTGGTCCCAAGGCCTGGTCATTGGAGTAGAGTTTCAGATGCTGCAACCAAATGCAAAGTCAATCTGTGATAAGACTATGAAAGGGCTGACCTAGTGTGTATTATCAACCTTTCCTTAGCAGCAAGAGATATTGGAGCATCACTAGAGGAAATTGAAAAGAAAATCCAATTGGGCAAAGATAAGAACATTTATTAGGGATTACCATGTGTTAAAACAACTTGTTGCTCCACTTTTATTGCTGCCCAAATAGCCAGCCAATGCCTTGTATTGGATGCACCTGGGTCCCTCTTGCATAAGGAGCAAAGAAACAGTATTTGTATGTGCTTGTGGTTGACTTTTTTTTTAGCAAGGTCAGGGTGAGAATGGTGTCTAGCTATTCTTGATCTTTCGGCAGCTTTTAATACTGTTGATCAAAAGATACTGTTGATACTGGTATCTTTCTAATTGGTTTAGGAGGTTTGGGGTGGGTGCCCTTCTCTTCAGCAGGTGCCTTCCTTTGAGGCGGGTTCCAATTGGTGTTGGGATGGGGAAGAGATTGGGCTATGAGCCTTCCCCCCCCCACTCCTATTTAATATCCACATGAAGCTAGGAGACAATCTGTTGGCAATGGATTAAGTGTTATCAGTATTTGTTCATTTATACTTGTATTCTGACTATTATTTTTACAAATAACTCAAGGCAGAGAACATATCCAGCACTCCTCCTCCTATTTTCCCCACAATGATAAGTATGCTGATGAGACTCAGTTAAATAACTGTACTCTAGGTCATACAGTGCCTGGCAGCTAACTGGATGAGACGGAACAGGTTTGGACTCAAACTATTGTAGAGAATAAGGAAGATGACCTTCACAAAAATAGGGTTCAGTGATCTCCCCCACTCAGTCACCCACCCCCATTTCTGGAGGGTGTCTTTTGTTAACTCTAGGTGTAAGAGCATTCTCCTAAACTGAATTGGCCAGGGGCAAGAGGGCCTTTGGTTAAATCCATGATGTGCATCAGTTGTGACTATTCTTCGATTGAGAGATTCTGCTCGTGGTCACTCATACTTTAATCATTTTACCCAATTCCCAATCGAATGGTTGCAGTGAACACTACACGGGGTACCATTTTTTAAAGCATTTGGAAGGTGCAGCTTATCCAGAATATAGCAGTGTGGCCCATTTTGGGTGTATCATATTATGTGCATGTAAGACCACTGTTATGTGGGCCGCTCTGACTTTCAGTAGGTTTTTAGATACAATTCAGCATGCTAGTTACCACTTTTAAAGCATAGGGCCAGGATACTTGGTAGTCTGCCTCTCTCTCCCTGTTCTACCTGATTTGAAAAGATGGCCATGTGCCAGATCCCTTCTGTGAAACAATGCTATCTTATGAGACCTTTTCTGTCGCAGTGCCTGCCTTGTGGAACAGCACTCATTCCCACTGCTAAGGCCTCAGCCCTATTGGCCTTTCAGATGTCCTTAAAAAAGGAATCATGATTATAGTGGAATCCAATGTATGTGTTTTGCTCTGTCATGATTGAAGAATCGGTTATTTTATCAGAAGTCTTTTATTGTTATTGTTGCTGTTTTTAATATGCTTGTTTTTATTACTTGTTAGCCACTTAGAATTATTTAATTAAGATTGGTAGCCATGTACATTTGTAAAATAAATGCATCTTGGCTAGGTTAGAATGCTTATTCCAGACAAAACCATATGTAACACATGATTGCCCGCTCACTGCCAGTGCAAAGATATATTTTTAGGGTTTTAAACGTAGGCTTCTTCTCCTTACCTTCATGAATTGACTGGTCCTTGGTGTTAATACTTGGTGGTCTGTGCAATTCCCCCATGCTTGCGTAATGACCATCTCCAGCCTGGAAACTTTTGCTTCCCACCTTCCCAACCTTAGCCTTTACAAAATATGTGATAACATTTTCCTTATAATTCAGGAATAGTAACATGCAGGTAGTCCCTGTTTAATGGCCACAACTGTTACCTGCAGTTCTGTCATTAAGCAAAGCAATTGCTAATTGACACTATGACTGCGCTTTCTGAACTTGCTTCAACTTTTCTTCTCCTTTCTGTGGCTACGAGAGTCCAGAGAGAGTGGGGATGACTCCTGTCCTCGTTGATTGGACTGAGTCTGCTTAATTGAATTTAGCTCCACCCTGCACTGTTGGCCACGCCCCAGCTTTCGACTCAGTCCCAGCCAGGATGGACCTGTTCAGGAAAGCTCCAATTTCAGTTTACTGAAGTAGACTTATTTCGTTTTAAAAAAGGATCAAAAGCAGCGATTAAAAGAAAGAAAAGAGTGATACAGGCCATAGTTCCCCAGGAAAGGCCCAGCGGCTTAGCAAAAAGTGTTTCCAGCACCTCCAGCCAAGAGGGGTGGAGAGCTAAGGGCAGCGGTGGGTGGGTATATGTTTAGGGATTGTCATGTGTGTGTGCGCGTGTTGGGTCTGGTCTCTGGGTGTTAAAATCACCCTGTGCTTCTTAGAATACCCCTTGTCAATAACTTCTTAGACTGTGTGCTATTTATTTAACAACCGGATATTTAGCTTGCTTTTATAACTTGTGGCTATAATTAGATCACCTCTTAAAGCATTTCTTATACTTCAGTGATGACATGTTTCAATTAGATCAGAGTGTGAATGCTTTTACAATGACATCAATTAACAATGGTTGAGGTTGCCAGAAGAGCAAGAGCCAGAACTTTATATCTCCTTCGACACCCAAAGGGGTAAAACGGGAAAAGAAAAAGGAGAAGTGAATGTTTTTTTCATATCTCGATTCTCTTTTTTGTTCTTTTCAGGAATTTCATTAAGATGCTACTATCAGTAGGAATGTTAATGTTGTCTGCCACTCAGATTTATACTATTCTCACAGTTCAGTTGTTTGCTTTTTTAAACCTATTGCCAGTAGAAGCCGATATCTTAGCGGTAAGTTTTATAATTATTTTATAGCATAAAATATTCCTCAAAAATGATACTCAACCTTTTAAACCTAGGTTAGTTGCATGTTAGATACAGACTCAAGTATTTCACCAGATCCTATGGCTAAATTTTTCATAGCACATACCCTAACTTACATTTCCCACTGGTCTGTACTATCTCAACTATCTATAACACCCACTACCTCATTATCTCATCTTGCTTCCCATTAAGCAATAATCTGTTATTTTGCTATTATTTCCCTTGTCTTTCCCGCCTTCTTGCATTTCTTTTTATGAACTATAAAAAAATAAAACTATGTGCCCGTCTTTTGAATCTGATATGACTTCACTCATTTGCAGAATGGCTCTATCCCATTTAGCATTTAACCCTAATGCATTATTCAAAGGTAATTATGGCCTCAGTTCAATTTTGCTTTTCCAAAGCCTTGTTCCATAGATGCACAAACTTGTCAGTGGCCAAATATAGCTTTAGAAAAATGAGTTGAGGGCCTCTTTGCTACTAGGGCAAAGTAGAAACTGTGCTTGCTTACAGCAGGTGAATGTATCCACAGAAAAGCATATTTTTGTTCAGCTCATATCCTTTTTTTTTCATAAATTGCCTTCCATCTTCTCCCAACTTAAGTCTTAAAAGTCTTAAATTGTAATTTATGACCAACGTATGATATATGAGTAATGACTTGGGGAGCCACACAGGGAGCAATCTGTGGGTCAAAGTATATGCCCATATTTTACTAAGCAACCTCTGCAGAAGTCTCTTTCTGCCAAAAAGAATCTCTATTGCTCCTTTCTGTGCTTTATTTTTTCAATGACTGCTAAGTAAGCCAATTCTTAGTACAGAATATTTCTATTTAATAAAATGTTTTCAGTATTTCTCAACAAAAATTAGTGCTTATATTTCTCCACATTTCATTTATTCTCCACTGATAAGTTTTCAGTTCTGTAAATGTACTGTAAGTAATATTAATTTTAACTTGCTCTAGTTTATGTTTAAGTTAGTTTCACATTGAAAAAGTCATATATAAGATTTAAGTAAGTTTTATATGATTGTTACTTCCTTTTTTTGGTGTAGCAAACAGAATAGAAGCAAAAAGCTGACTAAATTTCTAAATGTTGAGTTTTTCTCTCTTTCTGGCACTTTCTGACTTTCCATAAAAGGAAATTAGTTTACAGTCTCTACAGTTATTCATGGATTTGGTTTAAATATCAGTTTTAATAGATGAAAGCAAAACGAATCTTATATTTGGGCTATTTTAAATTTTCAAAATTAGAAGTGTCTTGATCTGTACTTTGTAACAATCCTTTTGCAAATATTGCTGTTTAACTTAAGAGTATGTTATTTGAATTCTACTGTACAGTTATGTAATAATATGTCATATGGCTAATTTTGCAGTTTAATATATGATATATGTTTCTTGTGTATTATAGTTTAATTTTGAAAATGCAACACAGACATTTGATGACTTACCAGCAAGATTTGGTTATAGGTTGCCTACTGAAGGTTTGAAGGTAAGAAGGAATAATTTGAAACAGATTATTAAATGGTAATTTACCTGATGGTAATTTATGAATATACAAATAATCATCTGCTGTTGAAAGAAAAATTTGGGGATTCTTGTTTAAACAAACATAATGTTCTTGCCATTTGAAATACTAATTGAGCGCTTTGAGGTAACCTAATCCATCTGTAATTGAGTACCTCATCTTTTAACCTTAAATATTCTGTTAGATCTCTGTATTAATGAACATCTTCAGCATATTTGTGTTAAATTTTGATTCTCTCACTGGATTGTTACTTTGAGCGCAGATCATCATAGAAAAATGGAAAATAATAAGCTGCTGTATATTTTATAATTTTCTCTAGTGTCCTGTAATCTTTATCACCTTGCCTTTGTGAGCAAGCAATCTAACTGTTCCAGCTAGAGAAGAGACCTTGGTAACATGGCACCTGTTACAGTCTTTTACATAAGTACTTTTCAAATCAGGGACTGAATGTAGGTCTGTTGATTAGGAATTCTCAGCTCCTGTGCAGTGTCTTCAGGGCTGTAATGAGCATTAGGTCAGTATATGTTCTGGTGATATTCCTATCAAATATCATATTCTCAACTAACAACAAATTATGCATCTAACTTTCCGTTGCACTCATTTTTCTCTTGCTTTGAGTGGAACAGTTAGTTATTATACAGTCTGCACTACTAACTTACTTTGATAACAGTTGCAATGGCAGTATTTCTTAGAATAAACTGCTTGAGAATTCTGTCATCTAAATTGCCAATTTACAATCAAAACATGATGCTTGTTTTCAGAAACATTTGGTTCTATATAGCCTTAATATGCGATAATAGCTAATGCCAAGATCAAAAGGAATTGCAGAATGTTGTACATAAATTTCTAGAGTGATGTATTCTGAGAATGCTTTGGTTTTGGTATTGACTGGGATCTTTGTCACTTGTTTTCAAATGTAATTGCAAGAAATTTGGCAAATTAGCACCTTAAGGTAAATATAATGTATTAGTTGTCAGGTTGTATTTCTGCTAATGCTGTAAAATGCATCAGAAAATGTGTTAGCTTGTACCAAGAGTTCTTGAATTATTGTCTACTGGTCTAATTGTTTTTAAAATAAAGTAATATATAGGCCGTCTCTTGGAACATGAGAAAATGTTATCTTGGTTCATGGAGAGAAAATCTGTATGGTCAGTAGGAATCGAAAACCATTTGATGGCACATAATCAATCAATCAAGGGAACATTGCCTTGTATCAATGAATGGACTTGTGCACATCTCAGTGACATTCAGCTATACCATTAGTGTTGTATACTTTCAAAAGGGTATCCATGTTAGTCCAGTCACTGAAAACAGCAAATAGAATACAATCCATTTGAAAAACCCACTCCAGAATTCTACCAAGAGAACCACATAGATTTTTCAAAGCGAGGACAATGTCAATATGGTACTGGAAGATGAGTCCCATGGGTTAAGTATAGAATGAACATTCAATGAGAAAGTATTCCACTGCAAAGAACAAAGGGCAAATAGGAATAGCTTTTATGTTGGAGATGTACCTGGATTCAAATTAAATGAACATTCAGCTGCTGGTGTCAAAACCATGAATTAAGGCGAATGTCAGACAAAAGTATCAGGATTCACCATGTTGGCATTCTACTATTAGCAAAAACATCCTCAAATGATATTACATTAATTATAGAAGAATGGAATGCTGAAATTGGAATCAAATAGCATCTGCACTAACAGGAAAAACAGTGTTTTGCCAAATTTTAGCAGTTTACAGTAGCAAAATATGTTACAAATCAAGATGAATGAATACATTTGTTACATGATGGACAATACTGGAATCAACTTAAGTGTGTAGTGTGCAAAGCAAGGATGGAGGAGCTGTCTTCAGACATCAAAAATAAGGTCTGGGGCTGATTGTGGTTCAGATCATGAAATAATTATTAGAAAATTACAAACAAAACTAAAAAATACTGGCCAACAAGATAGGGTAATCTTATCAGTAAGTAGTCTGCATGATAATGCAGTGAATATAAAAAAAATATCTAGACTTGATAAATAGACTGCTTGAAGAACTATGTTTTGAAATGAATGACATCATTAAAGATGAAATAAACAAAAATACATTGAATGAACAACAAAACAAAAAGAAGATGAAATGTCTGTTTGCTAGTATAGTGGCAAAAAGGTAGAAGGTGATAGTGAAAACTTGCCAAACTAAACACAGAGAGGAGCAAGAGGTAAGGAAATATATTTAAATAAGCAGTGCAAATAAATTGAGGATAATTATTCTGGAAGTGCAATTTATTTAAGAGGTTTACATAAATCAGTGCAAATTTTGTGTACAGAAGAAACATTGTAAAAGGCAAGACAAAAATCTATTGAAGAAAAAAGATAAAGAACATGATAAAAATATATGGAAAAATTTGTATGAGAGCATCCCCATTGATGAGATATTCCCCCCCACCCTCCCTCTCCCTCTCCCTCTCTCTCTCTCTCTCTCTCTCTCTCTGTGTGTGTATGGGTGTGTAGTTTGATTTCTGAACTAGAGCCAGGGATCTGGAAAATGAAGTGAAATGGACTACAGGAAATATTGCTAACAATGAGTTGTGAGATTTAATGAAATATCATCAACTATTTAAAGCTTATTTTCTTACTTTATTGATTAAATTTATATGCCACCTATCTTCTGGCTGAAGGCAACTTTAAGATGATATGGTTGAAATGCTAAGAGTTTTCTGCTTGCAGACTGATAGAAAGAAAAAACCTTTATTCCGATATTAAAAAGAACAGTATTAAAGAATGTTCAAAGCACAAATTGCACTTATCTCATATGGCAGTAAGAAAATGCTCAATTTTTTTCCTATCCAGGCTTTAGCATGCACAGAAAGAGCTACAAGATGTTTAAGTTGGATTCAGAAGAGGCAGAAGCATCTGATATTATATTGCAAACATCTGATGAATAATGGAAAAGACAAGGGACTTTCAAGCATACATTATTATTATATTTTGCTTTATTAATTATATAACTGCAAACCACAACAAAAAAAAACCCTTAAAAATACTGGATTACCTCATCTACCTGTTGAATAATTTATGCAATCACCAGGAAATAACTGTTAGAAGGAATATGGAGCAACTACATGGTTCAAGATTGTATCCTGTGGTTTCTCAAAGAAATAATGTTTATGCAGAGTGCCTGAGGAAAAAAACCCAGAAACTGGAATTAAGGTTGCTGGGAGAAACATCAGCAACCTCAGATATGCTAATGATGCCATTTTGATGACTAAAAGGAAAGTGGAAGTGACTACAATAAGTTACTCTTATTGAAAGTAAAAGAGTACAAAAGCCAGTCTGCTGGTCAATATTTCTGATTCTGTCAACAAGCAATGAAGCCCAATGTGAACAGATAATAAGGAAACTAGGCTCAAAGATGCACCATGGTATTCATAAAATAAAGTGACATCTGCTGTGGCAAATCTAGACAAAATGCTAAAGTGCAAAAATATCACACCAACAGCAAAATTACATTTTGTCAAGATGATGTTTTTTTTAGATGAAACATGTACTTTGAAAGCTTGTTTATCAGAAAGGTTGAACAATGAAAAAGTGATGCCTTTGAATTGTGGTAATGGGAAAACTGAGAATACTTTGGACTGTAAGAACAAATAATTCAATACTCCATAAAACTCACAGGAAGATGAAGATAAAGGTTAAATATGTTGGGCCTGTACCATGAAGACAGGAGTAACTGGAGAAGACCCAACGCTTGTTGAATCAGAAACCATTAGTGAAAAGGCTGACAGAAAACAAGATGGGAAAATACACTGTTATTGAGCTTACAAGAAATGAAAGGAGAACTTATTGATGGACAGTCCTGGTAAATTGATGTCCATTGTGTCACAGAAGTAACTAAATAACTAGCAATTACATATTGGGGGTATAATTAAATACATCTGAAAGACAGGCACATTTGAACTGTATTATCTGACAGGAGTTGAATCCTGTGAACAATTAGGCAATAGAAAGTTAAAGTTCACTTAATGACTGGCATAAAGGGTGATGAAATTAGGAGAGACTCACTTAATGACTGCATCACTTAGTGATAGAAGTTCCAGTTCCAGTTGTCATAAGTTGAGGACTACTTGTGAAGGGACCACTCTATTTAAGCTTTGATTCAAAAAGTCTATATCATAGTTGTATTGTATACTATTTCCTTCTCTGGTGATTACACCCAACAGGGCCAAAGATCCTGAGAGGGCCTATGTTTTCCCTTCTCAAGATATAAAATGAAGATTAAATAAAATTCTTATTCTGCTCCTGATGAAAGTACCTAAAATGCATTAACCAAAAGGTACTTAAAATACTATAAAATTGGCAGGCTGCAACAAAAGCTTTTTAATATATGCTTAAAACTTAAACTTTTATACCTATCTGTGTATTTAAGTACATTCTTAAGTGGTTTGCTGGATCAATGCCCATGTGAAGTAAGAGTTGGAAGCATAGCTCAGTTACACTTGAAAGTTGTTGTTATAAGTTATATTGTACCTTGATATTTGATTAATTTGTATTGGACTTTAGGATATTAGGATTCTGATTTTGTCCTTACCTGCCAAAGGATGCTGATAACAGTAATGTCATCTTTGCCCCATTAAGAATTTTGACTGACTTAGATGAAACTTCCATCATTTTTTTTATTTCAAATAGAAGAATTTAAAACAGGCAATCATAAGTGAACTGAACTAATTGCCATGTTTTGTATTAGAAGTTTTATAATTTGGATTTTGAAATGTTGATGTAGTTTTGCAAAACAGATAGGATGAGTTCTCTTCTATTGCTCTGCATGAAGGAATCTTTAGAAGAGCATCTCTTCCCAGCAACTGGTACTAAAGATTAAATAATGTTAGTGCTTATTTGGGGAATCACACAGTTGGTAAGTGTTGCAAAGGCAGTTTCCTGGCCATGACAGTTTGGATTATAAACATTCTGTAATTGATAGCACAATGAAGGCCCCTATACAGTACAAGAATACAGTACAAGGAGTGTTCTCCTTCTAGCACAATATTTTTTCTTTCTGTACAGAGAGTGTACAACAAATTTGTCAGATGGCTTTCTCTGTTTCTACTGCTCTCTTTCCAAACTGGATAATACTAAAAGAAATTATATCTCAAGAGCTGAAATTCCATGATAGAATAAGCCAGAGCTACTGCCTTTTTAACAACTATTGACAGTTAACTATCTAAAACTATCCACTAGAGGGTATCATAGCAACTTCTGTGAAATAAAACCAATACAGATATGTTGAATGAGATGTTACTTTTATGTTACCTTCTTAGACTGTTTATATTTGACTGATGCATTTTAGATTTAGTATAACATGTTAATTGTTACAATTATCAATATACTGATGACATTCAGTTGTACATCACAGGCCGGGCTAGGATAGGATAGGGATTATTTGAAGGTGTAGAATTAGTACTCAGAACTTGGAGGGAATAGATGGGATAAAACAAGCTCAGATTAAATCCTAGCAAGGTGGAAGTACCATACTTTTAGGAACTTCTAGCTCTGATTCAATTATAGTGATAGGTAGCTCTGCGCCAAGCTTCCTCATTTGCTCAAAAGTAATTAAGCCCTCCTTGACTTGTGGCTCTTGCCCTTCCCGGATCATAAAGTCCTGATGGAAATCAACCATACTCCCATTGTATATTTCCAGTTCTGCAATACACTCTAAATAAGGGTACTATTGAAGGAAATTGAGAAATTGCAATTGATAGAGACTATAGCAGTCAAGCATTTACAGAGTCATACTTACTCTTAGCTGCACTGATTATTTATAAAGTCCCAAGCTCAATCTAAATTGTTCCAAAATTGTTGTATGGCGCAGCACTCGGTAATTGGAGGGGCTGGCTAGTTCAGAATGATTTTTCCTGGCCTGTGATTTGTTACCAGGTGAGTTATTGTGCAAGTTATTAGCCTGATTGTGGGAGGAGGCACGGTCGCAATCTTTCTTCAGGCTTTGGAATACCTTCCTTGCAAAGAAATGTCATTATCTTTCTGCAGTCATCAAAATTACTTCATTCGAAATGGATATGGGATCAGCACTGCTATTTTATAGTTCCTGTTAATTATATTACATTTTTATTTATACTGCATAACCCACCAGAACTGTAAAAAAAATCTGTACATTTTCCCATGTTATGTCAAAATGCTAATCATATCTTTTGAAAATGGCTTTCAGGGGTTCCTAATAAATTCAAAACCTGAGAATGCCTGTGAGCCTATAATTCCTCCACCTCTGAAGGATAACTCATCCCATGAATTCATTGTATTAATCAGAAGACTTGATTGTAATTTTGATATAAAGGTAAGTAACCTTTCACATCTTCAATTCAGACAAGTATGGAGTTTCTGAAGCTTCAAAATTATGTTTAAATACGCTACTTGAAAAGAGTCACACTGTCGAATCCATATGCATAAATCAAATTTGGGCAAGTTGCCCCCCCCCATTTTTTTTTTCTTGCTGAAGATTGTTGGAACTATGTCTCAGTATTTTGAGATGGGTAACACCTTGAAAACTAGTAGACAGTGCAATTTTAAATAAACAGAAACCTATTCTTTTAAAAAAGCAGAAAACAGTTCTATCTTTTTTGCGTTTCTTTCTAGACATAATAGCATTCATATTGCCAGAAAATATTAAATGTCTTCCCTTTCCCAAAAAAAAAAAGCCTTTGCCTACTTTTAATTGAATGGTTTGGGGGCTATCAATTTCTCTTGTTTGTGGCAATTATATGTTAAACATTGTGGGAGGAAACTCTTTTTCTGGAGGTTTTCTTCTGCAATCACTTAATATGCAATATTTGAATGTCTTTAATGCAGGGCTTGCAACTTTTTTTCTTGTGGGTACCAGCAACATGAACTGTATACATTCTTTACATTTTGAGAAGTGTAAGAGTTGGCACTAGACTTTGTTCCAGAATGCAACTGCTTCATTATTTTGGTCTTCTTGAGATGGAGTTTAAACTACAGTAAAATGCAGCTGCCTAGAAATAAGATCACTTGAGGACTTTATGAATTGTACATTAAAATATGTAATTTAGATAGAATTTAAAACAGCTGGTTCATGCTGAACATGCACATGGCTTTCTGGGATTAATGAAGAGAGATGGTGAAGGTGATATATTCTTAAAATTAACACATTTGCCAGTTCTAGGCTTATTTTCCCCTCCCCAACTTTACTTTCCTGTTTCAAGTAAAAATAATCCAGGATCTGAAATTATGTTTAATTCCAATTTTTCTAACCTCTAAGTATATCACAATTGCTAACACCTAGAATTGCGGTTTGGACAAAATCTATTGCTGTGGTTTAAAAACTAAAGCAAGTGTAAAAAGAAAAATGACAAGTGTTATAAAACTTAGGTGCACAGATAGTGTGTTCATATAATTGATGGCGCCTTCCATGTGCCATTCACATATTTCAGAGCAGTGCTAATAAAATAGCAAGCTGGCAGATGACCAGTAATGTTACTAGAAAAGTAGAATGCAAAAAGAGTGTGTACTCCCACCACAGTTAATAGGATGCTATACTGAACAAAACGGTTGTATGTGCATAATTAAAAGTGCGTGTTTGTCTTGTTTTTATTTTCTCTCAGGAATTCTAAACAGCCTGGAGGTGGGATGGGGAGAGCTGAACTCCACAAATGCAAAAGAGAGTATTTGTAGAAGTTTGCTCTTCTCCAATAGCTGCTATTTACACATATGTTAAATTGCACTAAATTGCATTCAGAATTGTAACTTCATCTGACTGCTAGAGGAGAATAATATTTAGAAACTTAGAAACTTTTCTTAGAAACTTTTAACATTTAAGAAAAAAATAGCAATCGAGGAAAAATTCTATACTTGCCCAATGTCCATACTATTTTACCTGAATGGTTCTTTTGTTTCCTTACTATCTCAAGCAGTATAGTCAAAATACTACTACTGAATATGTTGGTCTTAATACAGTGTATGAAAACCATACTTTTCTCCAATAAATATATATTTGTGTTTGCAATACTAAACTTTTGCTTAGGAGAAAGTGCATGAATTGTCATGGCCAGAATAATTTTTGATACAGCTTAGCTTTATTTTCTAGAGCAGTTGGCTTGTTGCATAGAAATCAGATAGTATAGTTTGAAATAAATCCTGATCACTTCCCAAGCTGCAAACTTTGGTAGTTTCATTCACTATCACTATTCATTATCTGTTTTAAATTGCAATTCCTATGTGCAAGCTGTTATTATATTGAAAACTGAAATTAATGCTGCTAAAGTATTTCTTTTGATTGACAACAGTGGAATAAGGAACAAGCCTTATGGATTATAGGAAGTGTAGAACTTCTAAACTGTGATTTAGCCCAATGTGGAAGGCAGCTTTGTAGATTATATTCAACACGCTGTGGATCTAATAAAATGTTTACTGAGGAAGAGGAACTAAACAACATAGTCAAATGTTAAATAATCTGTTTTCTCTATTTATGAAGCTATATATAATGAACAACATATTATACAGTTTATGAAAATTTGCAAATGGCAATTTGTAGTTGAAATCTTCAATACATCTGCGTTAAACTTGTGAGCTATAGTAATTATCCAAAACAGATATGTTTACCAGGGAATAAAGCTTATTAAACTGCTTGATAATATTTACTTCAGAGTAAATATGCTTGGGAATGTTTTGCACATAGTCATTGCCTGTTGAAAGGCTTTTCTTAGTTTTAAGATTTAGGAGCAAGGTCTTCCCTCCTTGCTTCTGTAACACTGAACAAATATATAAATAAATATATTGGCCAGCTCACATTATCTTTTGAAACTAAAAGATTGACCTTTGGGCTTTTTGCAGACTGCTGATGACAAACTTGAGACTTGAGCAAGCACAATTCCTTCTATAATAATTGTTTCTTCTGCATTACAAGTAATACTCCCTTAAATCTAGTATTAAAAGAAATGGCATGGATATGCGGGAGAGGTCAAGAAAGTATTGCCTAGGAACATACACTAAATCCTGAGTAAGATAATTTAGAATAGCTCAGATTTACTTCTAGATAAAATTGTGTAAAATTGTAAACAAATGATTGGTTATCTTTACAGACTTTAGCTAACTTGATCTTCTCCCTCTCAAATGTACTAATTTTGAAAGCACATGGTTAGGTTGTTTGAAACATTTCTGGAACAAGTCATTAACTAGATAACTCCTGTAGTATTGTCCTGGTTTAAAACTGACTCTTTGTACCCGTTTAAGAACAGCAAACAGTCATATGAACACTAAGCTAAAGATATACAATTTCTGTAACTTTGCAGACTTATCTAAATGGCTAATATCTTATACAAACTTGTCTGAGTTTCTGTCCCATTTAAGAGAGACCAGACCTAGTAAGATATATTGTAAGTTTCAGTTGTCCTTTAAAGCAGCTTATTAACCCTTTAAGATAATGCTTGTGGAGAAATCTGCATAAATTTTAAATAGCATTGGATGTGTGGAATTTACTATAGAAATATTTGCTTTCAATATTGAGCATGATCTAGTGAACACAGGATGGGACTGTGAAACCAATCAAGTTTAATTCTCAGGATCCTATTACATTCTGGATTAAATTGTAAAATAAAAAAACTGATGTTGGAAACAACTAATTTGTCTTTTGTAGAACACATTGAAGTTGTTTGGGGGCAAAAAGAGGTTTCAGAGGTGTTCCTACATATAAATATAGGTAAATGGGAGAAAGCATTGTGCTCAGTGGTACTACGTTTATTGAAGTTCCAGTATCAAGAGTCATAGTTAGCAGGGTGTCAAAAGGCAAGATATATATAACCCACTTTCTTTTGCACAGTTTGCATAGTACACAAATAAAACAAGTTAATTCAAGATGACAATACTTTTACGCAGCATATATGGGTGGCAGGAATAAATAATGTCATATCTCTAATGAGTACTTATTACAAGTGTGTTTGGCATACAGGTTTTGAATGCACAGAGAGCTGGGTTTAAGGCAGCAATTGTTCACAATGTTGATTCTGATGACCTCATTAGCATGGGATCTCAAGACAGTAAGTACAGGTATTAATTCTGTTTGAAAACTATCCTGTTTCTCAGTGGTGATGGCATATCATCTTTTGGTTCCCACTAAGAATTCCAACAAAATATTTTTTTAAAAAAATATGAACTTCATGGACAGATCATTACAGTCAAATGAGAGGAACACAAAATCAGATGTAACATGCCAAGTACACAAAGATGCTCTTCTCTCTTTTAGCCTGTGAATACAGATAGTTTACTTAACAGTAATTAAGACTGGGGTTGGGACTGGGGTTTCCTTCATTGAGCAATGTGGTCATAATGTATAATGCCACGTGATTGCGCTGATACAGCAGTTCCAGCAGTCCCCAGTTACTATTGGTAAATGAATCTCTCTGAGTCACATGAGTCTGCAACTTTCAGTTTCATGATGGTTCCTCCATTAATTTTGTTTGTGGGAAGCTGGCAGGGAACGTAGCAAATCATAATTGATAATGGAATGCTGTACAGTCAGAAATCCAGGCTGGTTGTCAAACTCTGAGATCACAGTCATATGACCATGGAGTTGCTATGATGGCCAGAACTTCAAGCACTGGTTGTGAGTACCACTGATTCAGCACTGTTGTAAATTTGAATGGTTGCTGAATGAGTGCTTGTTAAGTGAGAGCCACCTGGTAACGGTGTGGTATGCTGGATGCTCTGCAGTGGATAAGAAGATGCTCCAGAGAGTTATAAACACAACACAAAAAAATCATCAGTTGCTCTCTTTCTTCTTTGGAAGAGATTGCGAAGACCAGACTCCTCTCTAGAGCACTAAAAATCTCCACAGACCGTTCTCATCCTGGACACTCATATTTCGAACTGTTACCATCAGGGAGGCATTATAGGTGTCTTAAAATGAGGACTGATAGATTGAGAAACAGTTTCTTTTCCAAGGAAGTAATTGTCTTGAATCAAAAAGTGCATTTGTGATTTAGTCCTATTATTATTATTATTATTATTATTATTATTATTATTATTATTATTATTATTATTATTATTATTATTAT